CGCGTATCGCTGAATAGCGTCTTGGTCTTTGGCAAATAGGCGCTCTCTTCGCCCAGTCCGCCGTGTTAATGGCCGATCTCAAAAGCCTCTTCGAAGACTACGATGTGGGTCACACTCTTGCACCGCTCGGACACGGCTTCAGACTGTTGACGCAGCAGACCGCCCCACCAAGTTTATGCCCCTGCCTGCTTGCGGAAACATGGTCCTTCGGTCTGGGCTGGTGAAGTCTATGGGAAGATACGGAACTCCGCCTCAGGGACATTGGCTCGCATACGTCACACTTCTAGGACGCCCTGCCCTTGCGCTGCGCTTGGCACAGCAGCGCGGGTTCAGGCCACATGTAAGAAGACCTCTGCTGCTTCCTGTGCTGTGCCACCATCTGATGCATGTTCCTCTACGATGACTCACCGCCATGACGAAAGCTCATGACCCGTTTGGGCGACTGGATCTGCAACAAGGTCTTGAGTGGCGTCGAACCTTTCGATACGGTGACTAATCCCGTGTTGGAGATAGAAGTGCGTGGCTCAACCACATCTTCTGACTTGCACTCTCGAAGACTGACGCGTCACTGATCTCGCGCTTTCATCGGTAGGTTCTTCAGCGCGAAGGGCGTGCGGTGCTGTCGCGCGCTTGTGCAGCGACCATCATTTGCAGCCTGCGTCTACCACTGTCGAAGGAATACCCCGCGCCGATTCTGAAGGACATCGATGCGTCGGGTCGCGAGATGCTTTGTTACGCAACTCTGTTGATGCTGGAAGATCGCGGCAGCTTGCACTTCAGCCTAAGCGAACTGTTGCGGGAGATGATGGCGAAATTTGCAACGCGACCTGAAGACGTCACTCTAGGCCATCTGTATCGGCACTTGGAGCTAGAGTTTGAGACGATTGATGGCACTCACGAAGTAGCTATGACCACGTTCTGGCAGGCGCAGCAGGACGACCGCTCACTCGCGTGGGTTCAAGAGAAGCTCGGAAGACGCCAAGGTATGTTGCGCGGACTGGTAGCAGCAAACCCAACTTACTTCCACCAGCTTGGAGCACTGCAGTTAGAATAGACACATTACGTTTGATACTGCTTGGCAACTTTCAGCGTAGCTCACTGCCAGCTCAGTATGCCTATTCGAAACTCGGCAAGCCTTATGGTCGCCAGTTGATTTGTGAAGTACTTCCTCTCTTGGTTCGCCAACCCCACAAGGTGCGCGATATCATTCAAGAGCGTCGGCGATGAACTGCTAATCCCTGTATACTGGCCGACTATGAAGGGAGCTCTGCTCAGGTGAGTCACTGCGAGGTACTTCTGCGACCGCAAAGACTCATCGTGCTCATGGTGGTCTACCTCAGGAATCTCTGCGATTCCTCAAACAGCGTTGAGGAATGTCAAATTGACTGTTTCAATGCATTGAGCATCGTCATTCGAGGAGCCGGTGCGTGGAAGACTGTACGGCGCTCGAGCAGCGCTCACACTGACACCACATTGCTAGGTCTGAGCGATGCACAGGTAGCTCCGCAAATATGGAGACTGAACATGCGATGGGAGCCCGCGGTGGAAACACCAACTCACACCGCAACTCAGTATCGACGAGGACAAAGTTCATACCTCGCGCTTGAGAACGATCATTCCTTTCGGATGAGGAGAAACAGTGGGGAGCCGAACCTGTATGGTCATCATTGGCCCCTGGTGCAACGTCTCTCTTCAGCAGACGAAGATGACATCCCTTTTCAGCGAAGCTCTTATCTCGGCGATGTCGAAAGCTTTACTCTGTCCTCAGCAGACGAGGATGTCATTATCCCTGAGCGAACCTCCTGCGCTGGCGATGCGGAAAACTTGACCCTGTCCTCAGCACGCGAGTTGAAGTCAGCTCGTAGACCGGTGACATTCGTGCGGGGCGCAACGAAGATCTGTATCTCCTGCCCCTCAGGGCACCTTTGGAGCGACGACTGCGCAGAATGGCCCGACGAACAGTTTGTGACATCTGTAGAGGAACCATGTTGGCAGGCGCTTTATGCACTGCGAATGCGTGTGCCGGCTCAAGATTGCAGCATCGACATCAGGCCAGATGGAACTCCACCTCTCTCCGAGCTGCGTGCCGCTGCGAACGCGTCACCAATTCAATACTTGAACGTGCAGGAGAGAGCCGCCCGTCGCGACTTCTTTGGACGACGCAGTGAGGATTACGCGACGTGCGAAGGTGTCGTGGAGGCCAACCTGCCTCTCTTCGCAGCGGCGCCTTCGGTTATACAATCCATCGGCGCTGCCATATCCGATCTCTTTGATCCGACGAGTCTGGAAGGTACGTTGGAAAGTTT